ACACACACACACACAAACACACCGAAAAAAGCTGTCGCTTAAGCCCTACAATGGGCTACATAGAATTTGTTTATTAAAAACCCACCCCCTCCCTCCAGGAATTCATGGGGGAAAAAAAACCCTGTTCGTTCTTTGTTACTCTTCCATCAAGAGTCTTCTCTCTGCCCCTTCGGACGATACGTGCACCCTGAAAAGCCATCAAAACGTAGGTCTTGAGAACGGTTCCTTACAGAAGGATACGCTCTCGTACCGTGGTCGATGAAAAAGGGCTCGGTCTGGCTGGATGAAGCCAAGGTCTTCAAGATCCATAAACATTAGATGGATGATGTTCACGAGGACTCGTCACGTGGTGCTGGGAAAAGTGCAGAGTGGACCCAACGGTCTCTTACTGTCATTAAATATCTTACTCGGTCTATGCGTCGATTCCTTTTAACCGGCTATGAACATCCTGAGCCCAGACCCCCCAACTGGCTCTCTCAAGTGCAGCAACTCCTTACTCTTAAAGAGACACATATTATCACTACCTCGACAGCCACCTAATAGTCTTCTTCTCCCTCCTCTTCAAAAACTTCACCTGCCGTAGCCGCCTCCAGGGCGGCCAGGGCCTCCGCGACTTCCGCGTCTTCCTCCAGTTCTCCATTTACCTCGGGGAAGCCATCACACCTAGCTTCCCACGCGGACTCTCCCTTCTTCCCTCCGGATATGTTGGATATGTTGTCCTCGAAAGAGATGCTGAAAGGACTCCTCCTCCAGACACCGTCCCCTTCATCGGACTCACCACACGGCAGATGCCAGTTATGGATGATAGCTAGGCTCTCCGTGCTCTGGTTGATCTGCGCAACGTGTTTTGAGAGCTTCTCCTGCCCAACAGCCTTGGATTTCTCCACAGGGTTGGTTTTGAGGAGCAAAGATGGACTATCCAACTGAACGTCTTGGGCTCGTATCTCTGGGAGGGCACACTGTATGGAAAAAACGGGATCAGTCTGAGGAGACTCCTCACAAAGGGCATTTGAACTTTCCAAAGTCTGCTTTGGTTGAGGTTCAGGATCCAAGATCTCAAGTTGGTCACCTATTTTTGGCTGGAAGACTCTTTTGCCCGGAGGATCAAGTAGCGGACCAGAAGAACTGTGCAGGTTAATCTCTCTAGGTTGGGTTTTATTATGAGGGACCGGGCTGACATTCTTGGAGGAATGGATCCCATTCACGCCGCATTTTTCTACCGAGTTTCCAAGTCCTTTCTCCGGAAGAGCAGGGATTCTGTAACTCCAGAGGGGATCTTTTGAGTGGTTGAACCTGCCTTGGTTTGCTCCTAGCTGCGTCTCAACAATTGGAAGTTCATTTCTACGGCCCAGAACGTCACTGTCCTGCTTGCAATGAAATTTGCCTCTTTCTTCGTCACCTGTCTTGCAGTTATTGATCTCACTGATGTAGGCGGTCGTCTGCACGTCTTGGGGATGAAGGATGTAGCTAGGGAAAATTTGAGAATATCCAGTTATTCTTTGGGGTTTTTTTCCCCCTTCCCCAATTATGGAGAAAACCTGCTAATTTCGCCAAGGTTTTCTCATCTGAATTTTGAGCGTCTTTACCGCGATAGAAAAGCACGGCACAACTACGCGGAAATGGAATTAAAGTTAGCTACACGCTTTTTCGATGTTGGGCGACGCAATTAAAAACAAAACAGAACATTATTCTACTTCTAGCTGACTGTTAAGGATGTCCATTGTGGGGAAAACGGATTAACAATTATATTTTTTTTCATTTTTTTTTTTTGCTTTTGGCAGGCCACCCAGAATGTTGAAGTTGGCCCAGCTTGCCAAATTTATAAGTTAAAAAAAAGCTACCGTGCTGGCCGTATCAACTTTCTTTGATTTTAACGCCCTGCCAGAAACGAGATGGAGGCTATCCTACCTTTTAATCATTTTACAGCATTTGCACCCCATCTGGATTCTTCTCTGTCAGCATCTGTAAAGAGAAGGAGGGGGGGGAGGAGGAAACAGGCATCTGAAGCAGGGAATTTTATGCAAAATAGCAAGAGGTGGGACTTTCCACTTTATTTTTTGAAAGTGCCCGTTGGATAAAATGAGTTTCCAATTATATTTAAACATGGGAAACACTAAAGGTGATGACATCTGACCGGACTCTCAATCAGCATGTTCCTTGCACTCCCCTCCCTCCCTCCCTCCCTCCCTCCCTCCCTCTCTCTCTCTCTCTCTCTCTCTTTCTTTCTTTCTTTCCTTCCTTCCTTCCTTCCTTCTCTTTCCTTCCTTCCTTCCTTCCTTCCTTCCTTCCTTCCTTCCTTCTTTCTTTCTTTCTTTCTTTCTTTCTTTCTTTCTTTCTTTCTTTCTTTCTTTCTTTCTTTCTTTCTTTCTACAACCAGCAGTCTGCATAAAGATTTGTGCAACCAACCAGGAGAGAAACACATGGTCTGCCTGTATACAGTTTGTTTTTCTTTCTTTCCTTTCTTTCTTTCCTTCCTTCTTCCTTCCTTCCTTGCTCCCTCCCTCCCTTCCTCTTCCTCTTTCTTTCTTTCTTTCTTTCTTTCTTTCTTTCTCTTTCTTTCCTTTCTTCCTTCTTTCCTTCCTTCCTTCCTTTTTCTTTCTTTCTTTCTGTCTCTCTCTCTCTTTTCTTTTTCTCTCCTTCCTTCCTTCCTTCCTTCCTTCCTTCCTTCCTTCCTTCCTTCCTTCCTTCCTTCCTTCCTTCCCACAACCAGCAGTTTGCATAAAGATTTGTGCAACCAACCAGGAGAGAAACACATGGTCTGCCTGTATACAGTT